TGCAAACATATGGTATCTGTCCTTCTCTGCCTGACTTATTTCACTCAGCATACTTTTTTTTTTAATTTTTAAAAAATACTTATTTTTTAGAGAGAGAGACAAAGTGTGAGTGTGGGAGGGGCAGAGAGAGAGGGAGACACAGAATGTGAAACAGGCTCCAGGCTCTGAGCTGTCAGCACACAGCCTGATGTGGCGCTCAAACTCACAAACTGTGAGATCATGACCTGAGCCGCAGTCGGATGCTTAACTGACTGAGCCACCCAGGTGCCCCTAAAAAAGACTGTCTTAAATGTGTGTTCTGAGAGGGACTTTGGATGCATTCAGCGACCTTCTTCGTGGTGTTTCTACCCTGAGTGTTTGGGGTGGCTTTACTGGAAGGGCTTTTCTGTCCTGGTGTCTCCCGTGGACTGAGTGCTGTGTCCCCTCATGCCGTCTGGTGAAGCATCCCTGCAGGAGGGCCGGGAGCAGTGTGTGCGAAGCCAGCTTCTCGCACCAGTGGAGGTGCCTGAGGACAGCGTGGGTCCTATGGGGATGGGTTGCAGTCAGTGCGGCCGTGGCCGGCTGTCCAGGGGCCAGTGTGGGGTGCATGGACTTGGAGGTGATCAGATACCGTCAAGGGTGTCATTTTGACGATGGTCCCTGGAATCCCATGAGTACGGGCAGGCTGGCCGTGAGATTCGGCTCTGGAGAGCCCTGCACGCCCCACCCCCCCCAGTTTGTCTCCTGGGCTCCTTGCCTGATGCACGGATGGGGTCTGAAACTTGGAGTCCTGGAGACTCACTCGCTTTAGAGTCTGGTACCATGGTGTCTTCAGGGAGTGTCATTGGTGGAAGCTTAGTGGACTTAAGAGATAAAGTGCTTTCCCTTGCATGCGTGCCTGTCCTCCACCCCCGTTACTGTGACAGCTGACACCTGAGATGGTCTGGTGGAGAGCAGCACCGGGCCCCCTGGGAAGTAAAATGTGTGAATTCCACACGTGTTAAAAAACCAGGGGGTCACTCCCCTGAGTGAATAAGGAAATGTGAGGTGTTGGAAGGCTGTGCTGATAGCTAATTCTGACCTTTCAGAGTGAAAGGGGGGCTCAAGTGTGGGGCCCATGGGTGCCTCCTGGTGCCGAGTGTGTCTTGCCCTTTAGGCTCCCTCAGTGCATAAATCAAATGCTTGCATAAAGGACGCTTGTTCCTCAGAGAGCCGAAGGAACAGCCACTTCTGTGTCAGTGTGAGCTTAGTTCTGCCTTATTTTCTGCACACATGTGCACATGCGAATCTGCACACACATCAAGTTCCACGTAGCCAGTGTCACGTCTGATGGCACGTACGTGTGTACATGTCTGCATGTCATATGTGTATCATCTTCCACGCGTCTGTGCCACTTCTGGGGGGCATGCTCACACTCCCAAGTTCTGAAGCACGTTTGCACACGGTTCCCAGACCATGAGGGCCCTCAGGTGCCCGCAGCCTGGGTTTACGTGGAGTCACCCCCACTGTGGCTTGAGGAACGTCCAGGTGAATGTCCCTCTGTAACCGGTGAAGAAGAGGGGTCTTCCCAGGCCTGTGACAGCTCACCTCAGATCCAGGACGGGGGCCATGCTCTCGGGGGCATTCAGGAAAGAGTGCTTTCTTCAACTTTGCAGGTTTTGGAGAGTAAAAATCTTACAGATCCTAATACCTTTCTAACCTTAATTTTCCTGATTATTCTGATGAACAGGGCTTTTCTGTGTCATATTATTTCAAGGCTGATGTAAAAACAGTGCCCTTTTGGAAGATTTAAAAAAGAAACGAAGCCTTTTAAATAAATGTTCACATCCCACTTTTTATGTTGAGTCACGTAATGTTGACATCGGACATTTGTTGTGAGTGGATCAGCCTGTAACTAGAAAGTTTTGAATTCAGAAACTAAGGGAATGGACAGTTAGGTTAGTAAAACCTGACGGAGATCATTCTTCACCTAATTTATTTATATTTTCATGTTTGTTTATCTTAAGAGAGAGAGTGAGCAGGGGGGGTGCAGAGAGAAAGGGGAGAGAATCCCATGCAGGCTCCCTGCTGACAGTGCAGTGCCTGAAGTGCGGCTCGAACTTAGGAACTGTGAGATCAAGACCTGAGCAGAAATCAAGAGTCAGACGCTTAACCAGCTGAGCCACCCAGGCGCTCCATGTCACAATTATTGATAAAATTACAAATATTCAAAACTTATTTATGGTTGGCTGTTACATTGTTTGATAAGAATGAAATAGTGACAGGACTTCAGAGAAAGGAAATCAGAGCCTTGACCCTTGATTTTACAAGCATGAAGTTACCCCATAAATCTTACTGTTTAACTTCTCTGTAACCTGCTTCTTAAAAAGCTCTGTAACCCATTTAAATCAAGTTGTGTAGAAAGATTATCTTTGAATAATCTATGGAAAAGTTCATATTAATTCAGTTAATAAAATGCCACGGAGCAGAATTAGGTTAGCGAAAGGCCCTGTTCTGACACACCCATGACGCCGCTCGGAGCCATCCCTGTGGCGGGAAGGTCCTGGTGGCCCGGGAGCTTCTCCGAAGCGCTGGCACAAGTCCCAGTAACAGCACGTTCGGGCGTCACAGCTGCACTGTTGCCCGGAAGCTGCCCGTTCCCCCGTGGCCCCGCTGGGGTGTCCATGCCCCCCTCGTTGGCTGTGGCGTGTTGCCCGCTGGAAGCGGGGCCTGGCCCGTCGCGGGCAGCAGAGCCTGGTCGAGTGGGCAGGGTTTGCCCAAGACAGAGGCCCAGGGAGGGGCGGGACCAGGGTGGAGTGTTGAGCTGGGCTTTAACTTCTTTTTTCCAGGGAGCATTTGCATTCCAGATCCTGAAAGCCAACCCAGTGTGACACAAGTGTGACTTTTCCTTTCAGCGTTCATCTTAGGACCTGCTCTTCTGAGAGTTAGCCGTCCAGGAGTATTCAGAAGTGTGTCATTTGGAGAAGGGTTTTGTTTTCCATTTAGGTGTCTGAGATCTTAAGACATGGGCCCACAGGCCCCTGTGCGTGGTGTGTGCACCGGGGAGCACGCGGGCCGGTTTTAGAGCGCCGTCTGGGAAGTGGGAGGCGCCAGCCGGGAGCACGCGGCCAGGTGGGCGCGGCCCGGCCTCCCTGCCGGTGCTGGGCCGCAGGGGTGTTCCAGCAGGCCCGGGCCTGGCCAGGGCGCCTGGCCACGCGCACCTCCTCCTTCAAAGGCGGCCTCCCGTGTTCAGTGCTCTTTCCAGAGTGCTTGCTCCTCTGCTCTGTCCCGCTGCAAAGGGAGCGCCGTGTTTTGTGGGGTGCTCCATCTGAAAGGTGAGAAGCGGGGGCTCTGCGGTCACTTCTAATGTGCGGCCAGGAGAGCGCACTGCTTCAGCGTTTCCACATCATGTAGTTTTTTCTTAGCTGTGAAATTCTGGCAGATTGTTATGCAAAGCAGCTTTGTGTCTCTGTGTGACTGGGAAGACAGCTGTTAGTCCTAATGAGGAGTGCAGGCATTACAGTCTCTCCGTTGATTGAGACCCACGGAGGGAGCAGAATGTTCCAGATCGGGCAGTGGTGTGCGGTGAGAAGGTAGTGCCTGTCAGCTGGAAGCCCACGCTCGGCTGCTCTCGGCGACAAGATAAATGAGTTGGCTGGAGTTTGGCAGAGTCTGAGCTTTTCCAGTGAGCGGCCGTGGCGCAGTGGACTCCCCGGGGGACCTGAGTCCGAGGGTGCCTCTGCAGCCGTGGCCCGCACGCCAGCCTTTCCCTTTGATGCCCTGCAGTACCTGTCAGGATGGTGATTTATTAAAAACCTAATATGTTTCAGCATTTCATTAACATGAGGTGAGACGGTCTTTTGTGGAGACTTTTTTCATTAATGTAGCAGAATGTTCACTGAAATTCCACTTGGCCACAGCCCTCCGAGACCTGAAGTCCACAGAGGAGGCCACGTGTCACAATCCCTCCGAGCTCGTCGTGGCCTCCACCCCACACCAGGCCTTACGTTCTTCGTGTTTGACATGGGGTTCAATGGCCCTGGGCTTCAAGTCCAGGCTTACCTTCCTTCCTACCCTCTGCGTGTCACACGTGGGCCCCGCTCAGTGGCTCACTGCCTCGTTTAGCGCAGTGTCCACATTCATCCCTGTGATGACAGATGGCAGGATTCCCATCTTGTCTTATGGCCCACTAAGATGTTTATATGTACGTTCGTGTGTTGATATGAGGTGGTATCCACGTCCTGCCTGTTGTGAACAGTGAGCACGGGGGTGCAGACACCTCTTCAGGGCACTGGTCTCCTTTCCTGGGGGTGCGCGCCCAATAGTGGCATCGCTGGTCGCAGGGGGCCTCCGCACTGCCCTCCGTGGCGGCTGCGCCCATTCGCATTCCCACCAACGGGACATGGGGCCCCTTTTCTCCATGTCGTCACCAGCACTTGGGCTCTGTTTTGTTGATGGTAGGCATTCTAACGGGTGCGAGCTGGGAGGCTGTGGTTTTGATTTGCATTTCCCTGATGCTTAGTAATGTGAGTGTCTTTTCACGGGCTTTTTGGCCTTTTATGAATCTTCTGTGGAGAAAGGTCTGTTTAAATCCATTCGTACATTTTTTAATTGGTGGAGGTGGTGGTGGTTGAGTTAAAGGAATAGGTTTTTCTCCAATGTTCTAATTAAACTGAAAGTTAGGATGGATTTTTCTTTTTTAATTTTCTGCCATCAGGCACAGGTATATAGACATTTTGGCAGGTTCTGTCTAATCGATGTCTTCCAGTAGCTTCTCTTTGCTCCATTGCCTGAGAAGGTAGAGCTGAGTAGAATGGACTATAATTTTCTAATGCTTACTGTGTTTACGCTCATAGGGAGATTTAAGTGGGAGTTAGTGGAGTAGGAGACGGCTGCCCCCCTCCACGTCTCCAGGACCCTCTCCACCTGCCTCGCCGGTCTCTGGCAGTGGGGCTGTGTGCTTGTTATGTGGGTGGAGAGAACTTGGGTCTCTATCCTGGGACTTCCTGATGACCTTCTGAACTTGTGCCTTTTACTTGTAGCACCGTGACCTCGGCTGTGTTCACCGTGGGAGATAACGTCGTTTCAGGCAGCGATGACCGCACCGTGAAGGTCTGGGACTTAAGGAACATGAGATCCCCCATTGCGACTATTCGCACAGACTCTGCCATCAACAGGTGAAGGGGCTGCTTGTTACGTTCTGAGAGGGTGGACTGTCACCAGTGTCTGGTGCGGGTGCATGGGGTGATTCAGAGCTTTGGGAACGTGCTCTAGGCTTCAGGGAAGTATTTTTTGCTGGGGGGTCGGGGAGGACATTATTTTTTATTGATCCTCATGCACATTTAGTAGCCTCTGTGTGCTGAAACATAAGTACAAAATCAGGCCAGGGCGGTGAGCTTTGAAGGAGAACGTGCCACCTGTGGCCGAGTGCTGCAGCGAGCGTGCGCTACAAGCCCGTGGCTCGGTCTCTGTGTGCGGGTAACACCTGCTGTTGGCCGCAGTTTGCCTCGAGATGTGAGTGGCGTGGCCTCCCACTGCTTGATGGTCTGCGAACTCGGAGGCCTGTGCTACTTCATCCGTAACCCACCTCTGCGTCTCCTCCACAGGATCAACGTGTGCGTCGGCCAGAAGATAATCGCCCTCCCACACGACAACCGGCAAGTGAGGCTGTTCGACATGTCGGGCGTGCGGCTGGCGCGGCTCCCGCGCAGCAGCCGGCAGGTCAGTGCGCTCCCACCCCGCGGCCACGAGCCCCGCGTTCTGTGACCTTTTCTACAGAGAGAGAAGCTAGTTTTAACGATATGTTTAACTTATCCAGATATGCTTGCAATAAGTCCTATTTAGAACTAATCAATGTATAAAAATAATAGAGATGTTATATTCTCGTTTTCCTACATCTTTGGATGCTAGATTTCACTGGAAATACTTGGTCTCATAAAATGTAAAGTTGAAAGGATTCCCCCAGGACCTGCACTGAGTGCGTCAGCTGTTTTTAAACTCAGATGAGATGGCGCTCAGCCCCCAGCCTCACGCGAGGGGAGCAGAGGGCGCGGGTGCTGGTGGTCCCCGTCTGGGACGGCACAGCCTCACCTCTCGGCAAGTGAAAATGTGCCCTCACGTAGACGCAGGGGAGTGGACTGCGGGGCCTCTTTCAGAAGAGGACCCGCCCCTGCCCGGACCAGAGGAGCCCTTTTCCTGGCAGATGCAGAACAGAAAAAGCCCATCAAGATGCAGCTTTGCTGCGGGTCAGCCCCGACGGCGGGGGGCGGGGGGAGCGTGGTGCTCGAGGCTGTGGCTGCAACTCAGACCTGCTGATGCGTGTTCCCTCCGTGCCACCTGGGAGCCCATGCTTAGATGGTTCCTGATGGCTCCTGTGGGGCAGTGGGTGTCGCTGTGATGAATAGCCCCTCCATACCCCCCCTTACCCCCTCACCCCCTCACCCTCCCCTACTACCCCCAACCCCCGTTGCTGAGGCTGCACTTCTGCAGGCCCAGTGCTTAACTAAGCCTTGCCCCCTGCCCACCCCCACATTCGCTTCCTGTGGCCTTCTCTGTGTGTCAGTGTGACACACTTGTGGGCAAGCAGTTTGCGTGGCCCCGGGCGCTGCAGTCAGCATGTCTGTGTCCCTTGCTGCCCCACGGCCGTGGCTCTGCCGACCCCTGCAGAGGTGCCTGCGTTGTCGTCTGCAGCGCCTCGCGCTGTGGTGTGTGACCCGCAGGCCAGCCCTGCCGTTAGCGGCTGTGGACTGAAGGTGGCTTCAGAGGCCAACAGCGAAGGGTGTCTGCTGTCAGCGTGGCCACACCGCTGGTGGCGCTGACTCTCCATGACAGGCCTCTGCCCTCAGCGCAGGATTGTTTCATCGGCTTTCCCCTTGCGCCGCTTGTACACGCACTGTCTGAAGTCCGTTTTGAACCTGAGTTCTTTGAGTACTCGTGAAATTAGACTGCCTAGTCAGAGCTTCACCCCCTGCCCCCCAAAGGGAAATTTTCGAGCTTGGCACCTGTGGAGAGTCCCTGCCATGCGTCCATGACGGGATCGGCGCTGGCGTGCCGTGTGTGGTCCCTGTGGCTATGTGGCGTGTGCGGGCCTCCCTGGGACACGAGGTTGGGCGTGCATGACTTTGTGACGTGGAGAACATTTTCCTCGAGAAAATACGGAGTTGTAAGAGGTTCCTGTGGTGCTCATCCCACGGAGGCAGTTTGTGTTTAGTTATCTGTAAACGTGCAGCCTTGTTGAGACTAGTTTGTGGTGCTTGGAATGATTCTCCTGAAGTGTTGTGTTGAAGTGAGTTATTTTTAATGGATGAATGAACTTGTGCCACTTCTCCAAATAGAAGATGCCGGGCTCAGCATCCCAGACCACCGCCACAGTCCCTGCTTTATGTCGCCTCAGCTCCCTTCAACTGACAGACTTTAAGAAGACAGAACAGCAATGCTGTTTGAACTTGGTAGCTAGAGTGAAGATGGCTGACGGTACAAACTTGTTTTACTCTGGGGAGAGTGCAGGTGGTGTTTCCCAAAAGTGGGTTTCAAGCCAGGCAAGCTCTGTAGAGCGTTGCAGGGGCCGAGGGACGGGGCTCCGGGTTCCAGAAAGCACACCGGGTGTGCAGCACTCCATGCGGCGTGCACAGTGGGACCCGAGAGGGGGCAGGGCGTGGCCCCAGGCACATCTGTGCAGTCAGGACGGGACGCGGGAGGCTGGACTCCAGGTGGGTCCTGGGTGAGCTGCTTGTTTGCCAGTGTGCGTTTGTGCCGGCTGGCCCTGCCGCACCCCCTCCTCGGCACCTGACCCGAGGGTTTCTGTTGGGAGTGCCTTGAGCTGACGATCATCTTCCACTGGTTCCTGGGTGGAGTCCCGATCTTACTGCCGTTAATGGATGTATTCACTCTTTTTCCTGAGATTCTTAACAAAGAAGCCTTAGAAGATTGCTCTTGAAATTCTTTGTTGTGGGAGTTTCTGTTGACAATACTTTATTTTGTGGACTGTTGTGTTCTCTGTTTTCTCTAGATAGCACTTTCTGCACGTGGGGCTTTACCAGGGAGCTTCTGTGCCATTCTTGTTTTGCTTGTTTTGTTTTGTTTTTAAGAGAGAGAACAAGCTGGGGAGGGGCAGAGGGGGAGAGAGAGGGAGAGAGGGAGACAGAGACTCCCAGGCAGGCTCCACACTGTCCGCGCAGCGCCTGAAGTGGGGCTCAATCTCACAACCGTGGGCTCATGACCTGGGCCAAAGCCAAGAGTCTGACACTCAACCAACTGAGCCACCCGGGCGCCCCTGTGCCGTTCTTTTCAGTGTTTCTTTTACTTGTTGGAATTTCTGTCAGCTTTCCTTCATCCTATTTCTTGTACTTTGTGGTGCGGCGGTGTGGTTCCGACACTGTGCTAGACCGTGGTCACGTTAATGTGGAAACGTCGTCACATGTGCTGAGGTGATGCTGTGTCTCTGCACATAGGTGCCAGGCACACCACACTGTAGCAGCTTCGCTAACACTGGGCAGTTATTCTTCCAGCGTGCTGATGTTCTGATATTTAGCTGGACTTCCTGAAGGTGGCAGGAATTCACAGGTCATTTGTTCTATCCTTGTTTTATTTGGTATCAAATATATTTTTCTGGCCCCTTTATTACCTGAGCCATCTGTTTGTTAAAACGGTCTTTGAGGTCTTTGAATGAATTTCATTTGTTTTATTCCCAAATATTATCTAGTCTCATTAAAAAACTTCAGGTTGATCATATATTTTCCCCTGACTGTAATCTTACTCATTTTGTTGAAGAATCACAAAATGCTCTTGCTCGCGTGTGCCGACGCCATGGCCCGGCCTCTCCGCAGCGCGTGCCTGGAAGCTTGTGGCCTTGTGCACCGTCTGTGGCTCACGGTGACGAATGCTGCCTGTTAATGTTTCGGTTTTCCCAACCCGGTCTCACTGAGTCATGTCGTTGTCACTGTGGCCAAGGTGTCCCACGCGTGTGCCTCAGGGAAGAATGCACTAATTCTGGTTTGTGTGACACTAGGGCCACAGAAGAATGGTGTGCTGCTCGGCGTGGAGTGAGGACCACCCCCTGTGCAATCTGTTCACCTGCGGGTTTGACAGGCAAGCCATTGGCTGGAGCATCAACATCCCCGCATTGTTACAGGAGAAGTGAGGTCGCTGCGCTCCCCAGTGGCGCGGCCGCCGTGGACCTGTGGACTGGTGCCGCTCTTCTCCTGTCAGCCAAGCCCTTTTTCTGCGAGTCGGGCCCTGCAAAGGGTGATTTGTATGTTCTTTTCTCATTGTACCCAGCTTGCATGAAATGTACAGCCAAACGTATGGTCATATGTCTTATTTCCGTCTTGTGTGTATGTGGGCGCCCTCTGCCCCGTGTGGACAAAGCCCCTTTCCCATGGCCCGGCGTGTGTCGTGAGTTGCTGCGTCTGACCGCTGACGGCATGGCGTTACGTTTGTGTGAGTTAAATGTGAACCCCGCGTACTTACTGTGAGGCGCAAGTAGAGTGTGGCATTTCTGGAATACTGACACGCGTCTGCCTCGTGCTGGGAAGGTCACGGAGCTGCGCTCGTGTTGGTGAGCGCACTGGGTGGGGGGCCGCTGGGAGGCTTCCCGTGTACTTCCATGTGGGGTGTGAGCGTGCACTGTGCCGTAATTCGGCTGCATCTCTGTTCTCTCAGAGTTAACGTGAAACTGAACCCGGATGTTAGCGTTAACAAGTAGAATGCGGACTTTATGTTTGGAGAATTTTTTTGAAAAGAAAAAGTTTCTGCTCTTTTTATAGAAAATCGTTTCAATCTCCTGAGGTCTCATATTAGCAAATTCAAAAGTGTGATTTTAATCACTGATTTCAGATAGTAAGCAAAATTTAAAGCACTTTAGTTTATAGCCGTGGTTATAAACAGTTTTTAGAAGTTACAGATGACTCATCCATTGAATGTGACTTGACCTTTTGAAGAAGGCCCTGCCTGCTACCTGAACACATGAACTTATTTATTTTCTACTCTTGGGTTTGCGTATTTCTCAGTGGGTTCACTTCCTCGGTGGGGTTTGGGAGCCAACAATGCAAATAAATGAGTACTACCTCAGAACGGCGCGTCTGGAGACCGCGGGCGGCTCGCTGCTGTGTGTGGCTGGGACGCTGGGTTCAGAGGGCAGGACAGACGGCTGTGGCGGCTGCGTCCTGACACCCAGGCTCTCCCGCTCGTCGGCAGGGGTGGCAGAAGTGACGCGTTGCCGGCTGGCCGCCGGCCCCCACATGCTCCCCCTGGCCCCCACCTGGGCGGCCCGTAGCTCTGGCCTTCGTAGGACTCCCTGTTGTCTGCTGTCTGTGAGTTCATGTTTCTTGCTTGGTCACAGTTTTGATAAAGAGCCATCTGTGCGTACTGCCCTCCTGTTTTTCATTCTTTGAATGTGTGCACTTGGAGAGGCATATGAGGGTGACAGCAGAGACGGTCACGGGTGCCCCGCTGCCGGTGGGGACAGCTGGTGGGGTCGGCAGAGCATGCGGGCCGCCCCGGGTCCTGAGTGAATGTGCCTCACTTGAGGCTCCTTTGGCTCAGGTCCTGCGTGCGGTAGCTCATGAGGAATTCCAGCCCTGAGTTCTCTGGAACGATTCTGAGATGATTGACGCAGTCTGGAAGGGAAGAAGGGCCAGGAGAGACCCGTCCTGTACGGTTATGGTCTCGGCTGAGGTCGGTGCCTGGAGGGCACACAGCAAAGGCTTCAGGACACGGTCATCTCTGAGGCCTGGCATCTGCCCAGGGTGCCCAGCCCCTGCCGCCTGAGGGCACCACACCCCCAGCGGTGGAGCCGCGGTGATCTGGGGCCGCCAGGCTGTGTGTCCACACTTTTGGTTTCCATGTGAATGTCTGGGTGTCTTAGAATCATTGTTAGGGACACCGAAAAACGTATACAAACACAGCTGAATCCAGCTTACAAACCAGATCTTTGCCGGATTAAAAAAAGTGGAAGCTTTTAAATGAATGTTTCTGATGGCTGTTTGGTTCTCTGCCGACTAGTGGCCTCCGTGGCCGGCAGCTGCTCACCGCCACGCCGACGGGAGCGCCGACCTACTTGCTCCTCCTGCATCTCCACGGGGCACAAGGCCTCCTGCTTTGGGACAGTTCTCAGCAGCAGGACACCCTGCTGTCATGACCTCATCGTCCACGGATGTGCTTCCGTTCAGCTGCTGCTGTGGCCTTAGTAGTGGTGTTCTCGGGAGTCACGGAGATTTGGGATCGTGCGTGCGTGTCCGTGTGCATGTGTGTACTTGTGTGGCTGAAATTAAGTCATGATCAGCCACACGTGATCTCATCTGAGATAGTGTTTGGAAGTGAGTGGTTTTGTTCTGTGTGCTCACATGTTCAGAATTTCATTCAGTAATGGAAGGAGAATGTGTGGTCACTGGAAAATGTATATTGACAGAAAATTTCATAAGAACTATGTTGTTGGACAAAACAGTACTCTTCTCAACCACTGCACATTGACTTCTGTAAAGACAGAAATTGTGTACATATTTTGGAATTTGAAGAATTCTATGTAAATCACTTGTTGCTTAAATCTGTGAAAAACCAAGTTTCTTTGGGGGAAAAGTATGCATTTATAAGTGTTGTGTAGAGCAAGTGTTTTTGTTGTATTGGTGTACTTGTTTTTAAGTGTTGAATGTCTTCATTGCCATATGAAATTCATTAAAAATCCACGTTCTGTAATCATTGTTGTAAAAGTTTTATGTTATTAAGAGCCTTTTTTTATTCTTTTACTTATTTAAAAATTTTTAAAGGGATGCTTTATTTATTTTTGGGAGGGAGAGACAGAGCGTGTGTGGCAAGGGGCAGAGAGAGACGGGGACGTAGAATCTGAAGCAGGCTCCAGGCTCTGAGCTGTCAGTGCAGAGGCTGATAGGAGGCTCGAACCCTGGACAGGGAGATCTTGACCTGAGACGAAGTCAACGCTTAACCGACTGAGCCACGCAGGTGCCCCATGTTCTTTACTTATTTTTTTAATGTTTTGCTTTGGCGAAAATTATAGTATTGCCCACTTGAAAGATTTTAACTTTAGACTTCAGAGGTGTGCAGTGTTCTATTTCCTTTCTGTGTGTTGGGCTCACGTTAAGGGACTTGTCAGCCTGCTGGTGTCTCCGTTCCAGCCTCACCGGCAGTCTCTGGAGGGAGTTAACAATCTGATTCCTAGAGGTTTCACGAAACGTGTGCGTCCTGTTCTTACTACAGTTAAGCTTGTTTGAAAGTTTTTAAAAAATTGCATTTGCAGAAAGCAGGTCCTGCCCGTTCTGTGGGGACAGTACGCGCCTGGCCCGGCTGCTCGTTCATCCGCTGTCACCCCGTGAGCGAGGCGGTGTGGTGGCTGCAGGGACCCCGGGAGACGTTCGGTCCTGGCCCGGGTTCGCCCTGCCCCCTCCTCACGCTGGTCGGGCTCACTGCCGTCAGTTGGCTGCCACAGGGCAGAAGTTCACGGACGCCTTCCCTTTCCTCCCTTATTACCCTGTAGAGGCATGTGAGCAATGTCCGTGTTTCACAGTTACATCTTCAGTTACATTTAGAAGTTCAGGTAGTAAGTAGTATAAAGGATTGGGAAGACAGGGCGTCTGGCGGGCTCAGCGGGACGAGTGGGCGACTCTTGATCTCAGGGTTATGAGTTCGAGCCTCACATTGGGTGGAGAGATTACTTAAATAAATACTTAAAAAATTCATAAAGGCAAAGCTTCTCTTGTTATAATTTCATCAAAATGCCACTAAGATGTGTCTCACTTTGTATAGATTTTATGGTTTCCCTTAATAAATGGTTAAATTCAGGAATTAGGAACACTTGAATTGTCACATGCAACGTGTAATATGTAGTCCATATCATGGTGGGAAGAAGCTGAGAATGAAATATAAAAGTGTTGAGGAATTTAAAACTCGTTTTATTGAAACATTAAAAAAATTTTTTTTGAGAGAGAGAGAAAGAGAGGCAGCGTGAGCAGGGAGGGGCAGAGAAAGCAGGAGAGGATCCCAGGCAGGCTCCGCACTGTCGGCGCAGAGCCCAGGGCCGGCTTGAACCCACGAACTGTGCAGTATGACCTGAGCTGAGATCCAGAGTGGATGTTCAACCCGCTGGGCTGCCCAGGCTGGAAACATTTTTAAGCAGCTTTTGGTCAAAATGAAACTGGATGAGGCAGATCTCTGGAGCCCTGAGAGCTCTGTGAGGCACAGGTGATGCCTGTGGGCGTTGTGGGGCCCGGAGCTACTTAGACTCTGGGTCCAGGAGGCGTAAACAGGCTGAAGGTTGATGGAGGTGTCCGGAAACGAAGAGAACGCCTCTCTCACCCTCGGTACTGTGTCCCCTCAGCTCTGAGCCCCTCGCTGCGGTCTTTCTGCACCCTACCTAACCCTCCTTTGGAAGTTTTGGAACCATAACAGGAATTCCAGTTACCAGACTCTCCAGTCTCTCTGAGCTCCCGCTTGCTGAGAGGGAGAAGCAGGCGGAATCCTGGGCTCGGCAAAGCTGTCTCTCAAGACTGACGCGAAGACACTTACAGTGAGTGAGGACGGGTGTCACCAGCACCCCTCTAGTGGGCCTTCTTGAAATGCTGCAGGAAGGAGTCACAGCAGTGGTTTCAACGTGGGTGAGATGCCGACACGCCTATCTCAAGTGGTGTCTGGACTCCGTGTTTACATTTCCCTTTTTGTTTGGCTGGGGATTAAAATTTTAACCTTTGTCTTTATAAGATAAATAATACAATTTCAAGGGGAACCACAAAGAAGAAACTTTGAAAAAATAAGGAAATGATGAAATGCAGTTACCTTATGCAAGGGGATTGGGAAGTGTGGTAAGAACTGGAACAGAAGTAACTTTTTAGTGGGGTTTTTAAAAAATGGGCTTAAAATTGTAAAAGAACCATCAAAGTAGATCACCCAGAATTTGAAAAGTTTTTATGCTAACGAACACACATAAGGTACCTAGTGGGGAAAACCTGATAAAAGTAGACTTGAAATCACCCATGGAAATACTTCAGAACTTGAACAAAGACGTTAAGGGGCACCTGGGTGGCTCAGCCGAAGCGTCCGACTTCGGCTCAGGTCATGATCTCACGGTGTGTGGGCTCGAGCCCCACGTCGGGCTCTGTGCTGACCGCCAGCTCAGAGCCTGGAGCCTGTTTCCGATTCTGTATCTCCCTCTCTCTGCCCCTCCCCTGCTCACGATCTCTCAAATTAAGTAAACTTTAAAAAGGAAGAGGAGAGTCAATATTGTAAAAGTGTCACTTTTCCCTATTTTGCCAAGTAGATTAAATGCTCTTCCAAATGCAGATCGTTCCAGAGTTTCTTGGGGAATTTGACAGTCTGATTCCTAAATTTATTTGAAACAAAGGCCAGGATTGATGTGATATCCCAGAAGACAGGAGGGAAAGGAGAAGGCGGCAGGTCTTCCCAGGCCCTGGCAGGGGTGTGGTAGGTGGAATGTGCTGGGGGCACAGGGCTGCAGAGGTGACCAGGGAGGTTAGGAAGAGATCAGATTGAGTCAAGCATCTGTGAAAATGTGGGATATTTCGTCTCCTAGAATCACAAGTTGGGAAGAAAGTGGCCTGTGTAATTAATGGTTCTAGTGTTACTAGTTATCCATGTGGGACAGGAAACGAATCTGGATCCCTACCTCACACCAAAGAAGATCAATTCAAGCATCATACAGGAAAGAGTTATTAAGCAACTCTCCAAAAATGCATTAATCAAATGAGAAAAGAGTGACACATTCAACCATGTTAAAAGTAAAGATTTGTGCCTTCGAGGGCGCCCTAGAAGAGGTGACCGATAGGCCACATATGGTAGTTGCAGCATATATAATCCACAAAGCATTAATATCCAGGATGGCATCACCAGAATTCCACATGCCTGTAGGGGAATTGGACACTGGGCAGGAGATGTGAATAGGTGTGTCACAACAGGGAAAACTTGAATGGTCAATAAAGAAGTGTAGAAATAAAGGTCAAAATGAGATACAATTTCACAACATTAGACTTGGGAAAAGTCTGTCAAGCATATAGACTGTTGGGAAACATGATCTCGTGAGTCTTGTGTTTCTGAATGTGCGAACACCGCCTGGCCGCAGCGGTTTCGAGCTGTCTTTTTGGGACATGGTTTATTAGGGATGATGTGTGGAGACCGCAGTGAAATACTGCGGTAAAAATGAACGGGCCACACAGGAGGATTGTTGATCTTGGGAACATACTGTTGAACGAAGAGCCACTTTTATAAAGTGTGAGCAAGCCCAACTGTACACAGTTAGGGTCATGTATTTTGGAACATGGGAGTGAAAACTCCAGATTCTTCTGGTGTTCTCTGGGCCAGCTGCGGAGTAGTGGGACGGGAGGTGGGGGGGTGGGCACAGGAAGAGCCCGGACTTAGCGGTGTCCAGTTCGTGCTGTCCGGTTCCTGATGCAGATGGCAGATACCAAGTCTGCGTTCCTGCTTTCACACTTCACAACTTAGGTGTCTCTGTTGCTATTCTGTTAATGTGTGTAATATCCCACAATTAAAGTAATAACAAAAAATTCTAAACAAGATGTGTGTTGTCACAAGGAGGGGTATGTGCGATGCTGATAAAATAGGGGTTTTTGGAGTACTATTTTTGCCCACGTCAAGTTCAGGCCTCTTGCATAGCCCTGTTCCACTTACAAATGTGTAGTTTTATTCTACGATGACTGATTTTTCAGTGTGTATGTTCCATGGGAGAAAAGACAAAGCCAGTTTTGTTCCAAGATAATGTTCTTGAAAAAATATTCACTAAGGAAATTGTAAAAAGGCCATGTGACACTGTGTCAAAATTGTGTTGTTTTCAAATACATTTTGGAAATCCTAGCTTTAAAGTGAGAAATGTAGTAAGGATTTCATTTACCAGGTGTGATCATAAAACAGTAAGAGTAGCTTTCTTGTGTTGCTCATAAACTGAAGTAATTTCAAATCCAGGAGACAGTCCAAAAATTGTGTTGTGTAATGGCCACATATCAGAGTAAGAATGTTTTTTCTCACAGTCTGTTTTGGGGAAAGCAGCATTTATTTGGCTAGGTGGATAAGTTTTGGTATATTTGCTTAAAAATATAATCATTTTCTACAGTGCATGTGTATTACAGGTGTCTTCTTGCTCTGAATTAATTTTCAATAAAAAAAAAAGTCCTGCTGTAGACTTTGTTTTCTTCTTCAGGGACAGAATTAATTGTATATATTCTATAACCAATCCGTAAGTGTTACATGAAGCTAATTTTATTTTTTCTTCTTAAACTTTTTTTTAAATGTTTATTTTTGAGAGGGACAGAGACAGAGTGCAAGCAGGGGAGGGGCAGAGAGAGAGGGAGACACAGAATCTGAAACAGGTTCCAGGCTCTGAGCTGTCAGCACAGAGCTTGATGAGGGGCTCGAACCCACAACTGTTGAGATCGTGACCTGAGCTGAAGTCAGACGCTTCACCATCTGGGCCACCCAGGCGCCCCTGTTTTTTCCTCTTTTTAAAAACAGCTGTATTATGGTTTAATCGATCAAGCATGCACTGAACGTTTATAGAGTGTAAGACTGGGTAGGTTTTGACATGTTGACCCATGAAGATGTCACCACAGCCAAGATAATGCAAGTTGTCACCCATTTGTTCATGCCTGTCTGCATTTCCTCCCTGCTGCCCCTCCAGACCCCGTTCCTGGTGACTGCCCCGTCCACCTTCTGTCACT